TCGTTCCAAAACATCGCCTTCGCCAAATTCGATATAGCAGCATCCCGGCACAACTGTGTAAACATCTTGGGGAAAGCGGAGCTCAAACATGGGGAAGCACTGTTTGGACAAGGGCCGATCAGCCCTTGGAGAAGAGGGTACCCGAAAGCTCCTGATTTGGGTTACGTAAAGACTTCTTTGGAAGGGGGTACTCGAAAGGCGAAGTGCGCGTGGACACGGTGGAGCAAAAACTCAAAATTGCAAAGGAGCCTGCGGTGAGTGTGTTTATGGGCCAGTTCTTCGAATCGAGTGGCAGGGCCCCTAGACAAACTGGGCAGACCTCACGGGCAGCGCGGAGGTAGCTGCCCTGACCGAGCGTCCCAACTCTGCTTTGCTACGCGCCGTGAAGGGCGGCGGGAAGGGTAAGAAAGGTGGCGCGCACTCCGACTAGGAGATACGGCACCTTTCGGGCGGCATCGACGGGCAAATGGGGAACATATCCATGTTGGCCAGTCGAATGCGGCCAGATTGCTGCCTGGAATGTCAAAGGCATCAACTTGGAGCAGCCGAATAATCTTCACGAATTAATGCGACACGTGTGCAGTTTGAACATCCATGCTCTGTGCCTAAAGAGACACATCGTCGTGGTTCGCAAGTGTTTTCTTTCGAAAGATATTTCATCATCCTCTCTGGGTCGGAGAGCGAGGGCAGGGAAGACGCAGGAATCGGACTCATACTTGCGCCATGGGGGCGCCATGCCGTCAAAGGCTATCTGCTCCAAGATACTCTCATGGCCAGCCTCCGCCTCAGGGCACAAGGGGGTATCCTCACGATCGCTACGGCGTACGCGTGGACGAACGAGCGCCCGTACGACACCCGGCACGACCTCTTCACGGACCTCGTGCTTTTTACAGTCAAGCGCAAATCTCATGGGCCTACCATTTTACTCGGCGATTGGAATGCTCGATTGCTGCGACGACACCCCGGAGAGGAAAAATATTGGGCCAATACTTGCGTGAAAACCCAAGGGGGCACTGGACGCCGACAGCTAGTAGAAAGTTGCTGCTGAAACTTTGCACAAGCATGGAGGACTGCGTCGCGAATACATTTTGCAACACTGGAGCGGAGGCCAAGGTAACCGGTAACCTACTACGATCACAGAGCGCCAGCGACATCCAGCCAGGCCGTTTTGAACAGCTAGACCACCTAATCGTTGCTCAAAACTGGTTTTCTTCTGTGGTAAGTATTTGGAGCGACCGTTGGAAAACACTGCAGGCCCACCATTCTATTTTAACGGTGGATTTGGACATCATCATAGCCAAAGCAGACCACAATCAACGACCACCTACATTGAACATGGCAGACCTTCGAGATTTCAGCACTGCTTGCAAGTCCGCGGGGGGATTCGTGGAAAAATGGAGGCAACAACCAGAACATAGAGATCTTGATTCGAAAGCGTCTGCAGGTGGCACAGTGCATGCTGGAATCCGCGGCTGCTGCAATCCCTTCTTGTGTTGCGACGCCACGGCGGCCACGGATTTCTTCAAGAACGTTACACCTCATAGATCAAAAGAACACCAACAGAAACAGTGGAGCAGGCATGGACGATGTCGAACTACTGAACAAACATATTCAAATGTCTGCCCGTGCCGATCGACGGCGGTGGTTAGATGAAGTACTGGACAAAAATGGGTGGAAAACGCTGCATTCTCTTCGGAAGAGGCAAGCCACGACTACGGGAAGACTCCGCGATTTGAGTGGCGACCTTTGTGGATGCTGAAAAACCAGAAACAATGGCTGAGTATCTCGAAGCAGCAGAACGGTGGCTGTGTCATGCTGGTGTGGAATTCTCAGACTTGGTTGCCGACAACGCTTGCTTGCGAATCGAAACTGGCAGCATTACGCTGTGGAAGAGGTGCGAGGAGCCGTGAATCATCTTCGGGTACCAAGGGCGGCAGGCAGCGACGATGTTCCACCCGACCTCTGGCACGCACTGTGGTCGAACGACGGTGCCTTGGAATTTTTACGGGGCCTTTGCAACGCTGGCTGGCAGAACAAAAATATTCCAGAGCAGTGGCGGCAATCTTCGGTGGCATCTATATTCAAGAAACGGGACACGTCGCAGCCGGGCAACTACAGACCCATCTCATCATGAGTAGTTGGGTACAAAACACTCGCCTGCATTATTGTGCATCGTTTCAAGGCGGGTAGGGGCAGAATCCCAGTACGGGTTTAGACAAGGCAGAGGCACCAATTAAGCATTATTCCTGGCACGCAAGCTGGTTGATGCTGCTAGTGAAGATAAATACGGAAAGTTGCTTATCCTATTGTTGGACTGGAGTAAAGCCTTCGATCGTATCAAAGCAGAGGGCCTACTGTTCGCACTACGACACTTCGGCGTGCCCCCGGAGATGCTCGACATGAGTGCGGCTATTGACAGGGTGCGGCGGTATGTAGTCAAAGAGGGCCCTATGGTATCTTCGCAAACAGTCAAAAAAGCTAGAATAGCACAGGGATGCCCTCTGTCTCCATATCTCTTCATCATTGTTATGATTAGGTCGGGCGTGTCCCCCTACAGGCGGATTTTGGACGAAAAATTAAAAATATTCCAAAGATGCTCAAAACAAATATCCAACAAAACTTTAAAAAGTCGTCCCCAGATCATTTTTGGACTATTTTTGAATATCCCTCCAATAGAGGGAAACGCCCGATTTATTGTTACGGCCGTGCTCCTCGAGGCCGTCGACGACGAACCGGAAATCAGCCGCGCCAGCTGCACAGGCAAGCCGCACATCATCGCCAACGACGTCCCGTACGCCGACGACACGATGCTCGTGGCTGGCTCAAGATCGGCTTGCCCTCCGGAATCATTTCACGACTGTTGCGCGAATTGGAAAATCCTTCGGTCTTGATCTGAACGCTGGGAAGACACTGTTACCGAGAGTGCGGTCCGATGATATCTGTGCCTGGGCCAAACGGTGAGACACTCGGAGGAGGAGGAGGAGAAGGAGGAAGGGGGGGGGCGGAGGAGGAGGAGGAGGAGGAAGCGGAGGAGGAGGTGAAGGAGGAGGAGGAGAAGGAGGACGGAGGGAAGGGAGGGGGGGAGGAGGAGGAGGAGGAGGAGGAGGAGGAGGAGGAGGAGGAGGAGGAGGAGGAGGAGGAGGAGGAGGAGGAGGGGGAGGGGAAGGATGAGGAGGAGAAATGCGAAGATCTTGCCGTGTACCCGGAGGGACCGTTGAGTGCGGACGGGAGGCCGCGAAAGGAGCTCGCGCCATGCCTGGGAGAAGCGAAAGGACCACTTCACAACTTCTGCACGGTGTGGGGCCATGCGAACATGAGCCGGCAGCACAGATTGCGGATGCCGGAAGCCTGCGTGCCTTCCGAAATGTTCCACGGGCTCGGATCTTGCATGCTGCCAGAGGCGGACGGGGATCGGCTCGACAGCCTCCGAGCGACGTGCTTGCGAGAGACCTTCGAAAGCAGCGCCAGCGCTCCCGCCTCGCGTCCGCAGCGCCGATGGGCGGGGCGGCCGCGTAGGCCTGCCAGTCTTTATCTCTTTGCTTCCTGCGGCGCCGAGGGGAACTCCTGCGGCAGGCTGGCACGGGGGCCGCCCAGCAGCCTGCCCAGCGCAGCGGTGCTCGAGGGCGGGCGAGGCCGCAATATTCTGCCCAGGGATCCCCTGGGCACGCCGCGCCTCAAAAGGACGCCCGCGCTCACCGCGCGAGCGCCCGCGTGCACGCCCACGCCCGGGCCGTGGCAGGAGGCGGCCCAGACGCACTGCGAGCCCTCCTGCGTGGCACGCCGGAGAGATGGGAAGCGGCTGCCGTAGACTAGTGCTCTTCGTCGTGCCTCTGCTCGAGTTCCCGCCCTTCCTCCTCCTCCTCCTCCTCCTCCTCCTCCTCCTCCTCCTCCTCTCCTCCTCCTCCTCCTCTCCTCCTCCTCCTCTCCCTCCTCCTCCTCCTCCTCCTCCTCCTCCTCCTCCTCCTCCTCCTCCTCATTCTCCTCCTCCTCATCATCCTCCTTATTCTTCTTCCGCGCACTGTAGCATGCCCTCGCGCTTCGCTGGGAGGCGCGCTAGTACGTAGAGGGCTCGCGCTGCCAGCCTGTGGATACGAATCTTGCACTCGGGCGCGAGCAACGCAACATCTTCAGTATTTATCGCGGTGTCGTAGGGCGCAAAAGAAAGCACGCAAGACCCACATACTGCCAGCCGATGCGGTTCGTGTCACTGACGAAAGCAGAGGGCAGCTGCCCAGGAAGCAGTTGCCCGCGGGGAATATAGACCACTTTACGCTCAAGCCACAAAATCCGCAGCCATAAGCCACGTGAGCAAGTGCTTCACTTCATCTGTTCGCCTCGACTCGGCGTCCTTGCGCCGCGTCGGAGAGCTATGCCGCTATCGAGGCATAGATGCAAGTTTATGGAGCGCATCGCTACAGGACTGCCCAAAGCACACTTTGTGAGTCAATCATCGTCGTCGTAAACGGCAGGAGCATCAGCGTCCCTCCTCCTTCCCATCATTCTCCTCCTCCTCCTCCTCCTCCTCCTCCTCCTCCTCCTCCTCCTCCTCCTCCTCCTCCTCCTCCCTGCACAGATTCCATCTTTCTCCTCCTCCTCCTCCTCCTCCTCCTCCTCCTCCTCCTCCTCCTCCTCCTCCTCCCTGCACATCTTCCATCTTTCTCCTCCTCCTCCTCCTCCTCCTCCTCCTCCTCATCCTCCTCATCCTGCTCCTCATCGTCCTCCTCCTCCCCCCTCCCCTCCGTTCAGCATATGTCCCCTCCGTGTCCTCCTCTTCCGTCCGACTGAACCTCTGCAATTCGGAAGCACTATGACGGCCGCACTCCGCTCTGCGTGATCCCGTTGCTTGTCCACAAGATGCGGCGGCTCTAAACGCGACAAATGCGTCGCGAAACTGTGTTTAGTAGCATGGGGTCAACAACATGTTCATCCCTGCCTTCGCCACCCTGCTCTGCTGGACTGGCGCGAGCGTCCAGACCACTTCACACTAGAGGGAGTAATGC